GAGGTGCAATCAAGTTGGGCATTGCAAGCGTGATTGTCGTGTGAATTTGGGCAACAATGGTGCTGGAAACAGTGGAGCCAATGGGAAAGTGAACGGGTCTTCGGCCCAAGTTAAAGGAGGTCAGTTTTTGACTAACTTTGATAATTCTAATCAGAATTATGTTTATTATGTTTCATTTATCCCTGAATCATTCTATGTGCAGGATGATGATGTTTCTTGGTGGATCGACTCCGGAGCAACGAACCATGTATGCAAGGATAAACGGATGTTTGAAACATTAACTCCGCTTGAAGATGGCTCGGTGCTGAAAATGGGAGACGATTCTTTTATTCCAATTTGTGGTTTAGGTGTCGTGTGTCTTGAATTTACTTTGGGAAAGACAATTAGGTTATTTGATGTTTTGTTTGTTCCCAAGATTCGCAAGAATCTTATTAGCTCTAGTTGTTTGAATTCTGATGGTTTTAAACAAGTTATTGAGTCGGATAAGTTTGTTTTGTCTAAGGGTGGAATGTTTGTTGGCTTTGGATATTTAAATAATAGAATGTTTCGTTTGAATATTGTTGACAAATTATTACTTGTTCAGAATTCTGCATTTGTATCGTCTGCTTCTAATGTTGATAAATCTATGCTTTGGCATGTAAGATTAGGTCATGTCAACTTTAGAAGGATGCATGAGATGTCAAGATGGATGGATTAATTCCAGCCTTTGATATGACATCTGATAAATGTAAAACATGCATGCTTACAAAAGTGACAAAACAACCCTTTCCTAGTGTCACTAGAAATTCAGCTGTGTTTTGGAACTTGTACACAGTGACCTGTGTGATTTTCATTCCACTCCTTCTTTAGGGAATAAAAAGTATGTAGTCACTTTTATTGATGACTGCACTCGGTTTTGCTATGTGTATTTGTTCCACTCTAAGGATGAAGCCTTAGATAAATTCAAAATATACAAAACCGAGGTGGAATTGCAATTGGGCATTCCGGTTAAATGTCTCAGGACTGATAGGGGAGGTGAATATATGGATCCCATATACTTCCAGTCAGTGGGTATCATTCATGAGACCACGGCACCTTACACGCCTCAACAGAATGGCATTGTTGAACGCAAAAATCGAGTTTTAAAGGAAATGGTAAACTCGATGTTGTCTTACTTGGGATTGAGTGAAGGATTCTGGGGAGGCCATGTTAACGGCCTGCTATTTGTTAAATAGGGTTCCAAATAAAAGGAAAAAAACAGTCCCATATGAACTTTGGTTCAAGAAAAAGCCGAATTGAGTTATTTTCGGGTTTGGGGATGTCGGGCAGTTGTAAAACTTACCGAGCCCAAAAGAAAAATTTGAGAACGTGGAATTGATTGCATATTCATTGGATATGCTGAACATTCCAAGGCATATAGGTTTTATGTAATAGAACCTAATGATTCGGTTTCAATTAACACTGTTATCGAATCGCGAGACGCAATTTTTGATGAGATGAGGTTTTCATCGATTCAAAGGCCTAAGGATCTGACTTTTGATGCTAATAAAGAGCAAAATTCAGAAATTCAAGATGGTGGTATCGTGCAAGAACCACAAGATATTTGTAGAAGCAAAAGAGGTCAAGTTGCGAAAAATTTCGGATCCGACTTCCACTGTACTTGGTGGAAGGTTCAAGGGATGAAATTAATCTTGAATACTCTTATTGCTATAGTATTGAAGATGATCCTAAGACTTATCAAGAGGCCATGGAGTCTCATGATAGTGCTTTTTGAAAGGAAGCAATTGATGATGAAATGTCATCAATTCTTGAGAACAATACATGGGTGTTGTCTGATTTGCCTCCGGGTTCTAAACCTCTTGGTTGCAAATGGATTTTCAAAAAGAAAATGAATGTTAATGGGACTATTGACAAATTCAAATCCCGGTTAGTCATTCAAGGTTTTAGACAAAAAGCCGGTATTGACTATTTTGATACGTATGCTCCAGTTGCACGCATTTCTACTATTAGATTGTTGGTTGCCTTGGCAAGTATCCACAATCTGGTTATTCACCAAATGGATGTGAAAACAACCTTTTTAAATGGTGATCTTGACGAGGAAGTTTACATGAAACAACCAGAAGGTTTCATTATACCCGGTAAAGAGCATATGGTTTGCAAACTTGTCAAATCTTTGTATGGGCTGAAACAAGCGCCTAAACAATGGCATCAAAAATTTGATAGGTGATTTTGTCTTTTGGTTTCAAGACAAACCAATGTGACAAATGTGTTTATAGTAGATTTGATGATGCTACTAGAGCTGGAGTGATCATTTGCTTATATGTAGATGACATGTTGATTTTTGGTACCGACCAAAATCAAGTGGATGAGAAAAAGAAATTGTTGTCCTCCAAGTTTTCCATGAAAGATTTAGGAGAGGCTGATGTAATTCTTGGAATAAGAATTAAGAGGATGAACAAAGGATTGGTAATGATTCAAAGTCATTATATTGAGAAAATTCTCAAGCGATTTAATTTTACCGAGTGTTCTCCCTGTGAGTACTCCTATGGACCCAAGTGTGAAATTAATGCCAAATAATGGTATTCCCATTTCACAGTTGGAATACTCTAAGGCTATTGGTAGCTTGATGTATGCCATGACAAGTACTAGACCTGATATTGCGTTTGCTGTGGGTAAGTTGAGCAGGTACACTAGCAATCCTAGTGCTCAACATTGGCAAGCAGTGAATAGAGTGTTTAAGTATCTCAAGGGAACCATGAATTATGGTTTGAGTTACTTGGGGAGTCCTTCGGTTTTAGAAGGTCATTCAGATGCAAGTTGGATTACCAACATGGAGGACCATTCCTCAACTTCTGGTTGGGTATTCTTGCTTGGGGGAGGTGCCATTTCTTGGGCTTCCAAGAAGCAATCTTGTATTACAAACTCGACAATGGAATCTGAGTTTGTTGCGTTACCAGGTGCTGGTTAAAGAAGCAGAGTGGCTAAGGAATTTGGTTTATGAGATTCCTTTGTGGTCTAAACGGATAGCACCTATTTTTATCCTTTGTGATAGTGCTGCGGCTTTGGCTAAGGCATATAGCCAGGTTTATAATGGCAAGTCTAGACACCTAGGTGTTAGACATAGTATGATTAGAGAACTAATCATGAATGGTGTGATTTCGGTTGAGTTTGTGAAATCGCAACAAAATTTGGCAGATCACTTGACTAAAGGTCTGACAAGAGACTTAGTGCACAAGTCTGTAATCGGGATGGGATTAAAGTCCATTTAATTCTATAATGATGAGACACCCAATTCCCCCCTAATATAATGTTAGGAGTTGAATTCAATGTGGAAAGCTCATACTTATAGATTGGAACACATGAAGTACTCATCCCAGGTATGTGTTCGGTTCTGCTAGTTAGCCAGGTTGAAGTTTAACTTCTTAATAATTCCTTTGATAGATGTATGTGCATATACATGGAAAGGAGTTACCTACGTGATTGTGAAGTGTAGCCGCATTTCAAGAGGTTGTGGACTTGACCTTGATACGATCATGAGAGGATTGGGACACACGGCTTTATAATAGTGTCAAGTTGTATTATGCTAGAAATTCAATATAACTAGTATGTATTTTACTTTCTGGTATTCAAATGGGTTGATGGGTTCAATTCTTAGAACACCCTGATTCTCGAGTATTTGCAAGTGTATGATACTAAGTGGAAATTCAATCGTTTCGATATTTTCATTATGTATTAGTTTGGTTTGTTGTTGATAAGGTTATGTTTGTTCAAGGGTTACACTAATATGGGGGAGGATTGGCTCCACCTCAGGGTGTGGTGTTCCTGGTGCGGTGAATGCTCCACCTCACCATCACCGCATTGTGTGGTATTAGTATTCCTTACAATCTTAGCTTGGCTCAATGTTGCATTGGCTCTTCACAGGTATTCGATTCTACCATCTGGTTTGCATGCTTCACTCACTTGTACCATGCAACTTCTCCATTCACTGTTATTTGTATAATCAATAAATATACAAACTAAATATAATTTATATACTAACGTACATTTGCCTCCAAGGAAGGTCTGGCTCATAAACTTACAAGTGACTCAAGCTTTTCTTTGACACCATATATAGAGAAAACTCATTCATTCACCAGTGATTGAAGCAATTCATAGGATTTGGTTGGCCCAGAAGAGTAAAACGAAGAAAGCTCTCTCCTTAATGTGGGCTTTGGTTACTTGTACAGTACATAATTTGAAGCAAGGAGCCAATGAATAGATTTGACCTTCAAATATTAACCTTGTTTTCTTTTTCTTTCATAAAGACTTATTCATTGTATAAGTTTCACGGTTGTAAGTTTTCTACAATTCATTAAATTCAGAATTTATTAAAAATTTGTATGGTACGTAATTTGAGACAATAGTAATCGAAATCAGTTTCATTTCGAACCAACTATACACAGTTTCACATGTAAAAAGAAATATAAATGTGTACCAAATCGATTGAAATGATGTTACACGTAGGATACAATTGTCTTCCAATAGAAACACCATTAAAAGTTGAACGCACTCCTGATGGAAAAATAAGGCATTGCCCAAATTATCGGTTTTGAAAAGAAAAAAAAAAGAAGAGAAAAGGGTAGCTCAAGTATAAATAAGAACATGCAAATAATCCTTGTTCAAAAAGCAAAACATGGGAAAGCAAATAATGTCTTCTTCAAACTTCTTATTTTTCTCTCTAGCTCTACTAACCATCACACTCTCCCCCATACCAAATTATGTTTCTTCTTCTTTGGAAGAAACCAATGCTCTTCTTAAATGGAAATCAAGTCTTAAAATACCAAACAACTCCATGCTCTCTTCATGGGTTCCCCTCCATTTAAATTCTAGTGCATCAGTTCCATGCATTTCTTGGTTTGGAGTAGTTTGCAATGCTGATGAGAGCATTCAGAGGCTAAACCTCAGTACATCTGGCTTAAAGGGTAGGCTTCATCAATTTTCATTCTTATTGCTGCACAGTCTTACTCATTTCCAGCTCATCCATGCTCTCTTCATGGGTTCCCCTCCATTTAAATTCTAGTGCATCAGTTCCATGCACTTCTTGGTTTGGAGTAGTTTCCAATGCTGATGAGAGCATTCAGAGGCTAAACCTCAGTACATCTGGCTTAAAGGGTAGGCTTCATCAATTTTCATTCTTATTGCTACACAATCTTACTCATTTCCAGCTCAATGTCAACAAGTTTTTTGGCCCCATCCCAGCAGAAATTAGACTCCTATCCAAACTTATCTATCTTGATTTTTCAGAGAATAAGTTTTCTGGTGTAATCCCACCTGAAATAGGAAACCTGCACCAGCTAACCACCTTGTACCTATACTCAACCAATATATCTGGCTCAATTCCTTCCTCATTGGGTAATTTAACATATTTGAATGTCCTTCGTTTGCACCGTAATCAACTCTCTGTTGGTGATTTTAGTGTCACCATGTCATTTTAAGTAACTGGAACTAACAAGTGAGCTAAGGGACTTCATGATTTATACTCTAATATATGTACGGGGTTGTGCGGAGTGCACGCATGTATAAGATCGATTCATAAGCCGGTTCGACGACTAGTCAGGGGTCCGAGGTTTCTAAAGGGGCAGCGCCCCTAGCGGGGTCCAAGGGGAAGGTCCCGCTGCCAGGTCAGCGGGCAGGGTCGAGGGGCAGCGCCCCAAAACCTCACCAAATTTTGCATGTGGGAACATAATGGAAAACTCAATTTCTTGAGGGTGATTATGGTAAAACTAACGAAACTCGTTAGTTTTGGTAACCCTAATCCGGATTAATATTACTTGCTTCCAAAGGAACTAATGACGGCCCAACCCTAATGAAACCCTAATCGTGTTCTATATATAAACAACTCTTCCTTTCCAGAAAGGGGACGTTCTTTAGCTCTCGTTTTTCATCACACATTCATAGAACCCTTTAGCATATTGGCTTACGTTTTCTGTGTCTAGAAATGTAAGTGTCCACTTGGATTATCCTAGGCTGAATTTCTTGTAACCCAGGCATAAGGTAGAAATATCAGTTCGTAAAGTGATATTACAATCCAAGTTGGTATCCAGATCTCCACCACAAACCCTAAATTTCCCAACACTCTCTGGTCCCATTCCTACTGAACTTGGGAATTTGAAGTCTCTTATTTGTCTTGATTTGAGCCACAATCAACTTAGTAGTTCTATTCCTTCATCATTGGGTAATTTGACATCTTTGGATATCCTATATTTGCACCAAAATCAGCTCTCTGGTCCCATTCCTATTGAACCTGGGAATTTGATGTCTCTCACTGATCTTGCGATGAGTCACAATCAACTCTCTGGTCCCATTCCTATTGAAATTGGGAATTTGAAGTCTCTCATTGGTCTTGCAATGAGTGACAATCAGCTTAGTGGTTCTATTCCTTCATCATTGGGTGATTTGACTTCTTTGAAAATCCTTCATTTGTTCCAAAATCAACTCTCTGGTCACGTTCCTATTGAACTTGGGAATTTGAAGTCTCTCATTTATCTTGCTGTGTTTCATAATCAACTTAGTGGTTCTATTCCTTCATCTTTCGGTGATTTGACATCTTTGATTTACCTTCATCTGGACCAGAATCAACTCTCTCTTTGGTCTCATTCCTTCATTAAACCTCAGCAACATAGAGGGTCTGTTTCTTCATGACAATCAATTATCTGGTTCGATTCCACAAGGATTGGGAAAGGGAGACGTGCTTGAGCTGTCACATAATCATTTTTTTGGCCATTTGCCTGAAGATTTGTGCCACGGGGGAAAGCTTGAAAAGTTAATAGTAACTGGTAATCAACTCACTGGCCTATTCCAAGAGGCTTGCGGAATTGTCCTAGCTTAATTAGGGCTGGTTTTGATCATAATCAATTCAATGGAGATATATCCAATAGCTTTGGTATCTATCCACGCTTAAACTTTCTTGATATCAGTCACAATAATTTTCACGGGCAGCTTTCTCAAAATTGGAGTAAATGCAAGAATTTAACAACCATAGTGATGGCCTATAACAACATCAGTGGTAACATACCACCAGAGTTTGCACATTCAACTCAACTACAAAGGCTTGATCTTTCTTCCAATAATTTGGTAGGTGAAATCCCAAAGGAGTTTGGGAAGATGAAAAGTATGTTGAATTTGTCCTTGGCTAATAACCAACTTTTAGGTATTATACCTCCACAGCTCGGATCTTTAGAACTCCTTGAAGTACTTGATCTATCTACAAATAGATTGAATGGGTCAATACCAACAAGTATTAGTCAACTTGATCTATCCTTGATGTACTTTTGTCGCCGCTAATTATCTTTTTCCTCGTAGTGCATATCCACTACTTGAATCTTAGTAATAACAAGCTTAGTGAGAAAATTCCATCCGAAATTGGTAAATTAGTTCAATTTACAGAAGTTGTTAATCTCAGAATTTCCTCACAGAAGAGATACCATCTGAAGTTCAAGGTTTGAAAAATCTACAAAAGTTGAATCTTTCTCACAATAGACTATTTGGTTCAATTCCTAACGATTTTACAAGTTTGCCTAGTGGGATTGACATTGACCTGTCCATAAATAAGCTCACAGGTCTAGTTCCGCTTTGCTCCAACTTTGTGAATGCATCCTTACAAGGTAATCCAGGTTTGTGTGGAAATTTTACAGGACTAAAATTATGTCCAAGTCAAATCCTGAAGAAGAAAAATGATCCCTTTCATCATCAACTCATCCTAGTAATTATGCTCCCTCTTATCGGGGTACTTTTACTTGGTTTATTCATGTGTGGCCTCATTGCTTATCGAAAATAAAAGAGACTTTCTCCACAGAAACCATTGGACAAAGAAGGTGATTATTTCTCCATAACAAGTTTCAATGGAGGAGTAGTGTATGATGACATCTTGAAAGCAACGAATATATTTGATGAAGCATACTCTATTGGGACCAGAGGATATGGGACTGTGTACAAAGCCTAGCTACAACCTAACAATGTTGTAGCTGTTAAGAAACTTCACTCATCATGTGAGAATGTTGATCATAATGGATTCCTTAATGAGATACGAGCATTAACAAACATAAGGCATCGAAACATAGTAAAACTTTATGGATATTGCGCACATGCCCGCCACTCATTTTTGATTGATGAATACCTTGAAAAGGGAAGCCTTGGATCAATCTTAAGAAGTGATGTTTTAGTAACAGAACTAGATTGGTTGAAAAGGGTAAATATTGTAAAGGCTGTAGCTAATGGTTTGGATTATATGCATCACGACTGCTCACCTCCTATAATTCATAGAGACATTTCCATTGCCAACATCCTTCTTGATTCTGATTATGAGGCACATATTTCTGATTTTGGCACATCCAAGCTTTTAAAGCTAGACTCATCCAATTGGACCGCAATTGCAGACACCTATGGCTATATCACGCCAGGTAAATTGATTTTCTGATGTTAGTTCTACATTTTCTTAAGTTTCGTGATATATATGAATAAGTATATGTACATATATGTATCTATGTTAGAATCTTGTGAGGTTGATATAACTCTTTTTTCTTCTTATCTCATGTATCCTTGGATGTAGAGCTTGCTTATACAATGGTCGTGACCGATAAATGTGATGTGTATAGCTTTGGGATTATTGCACTAGAAGTGATAATGGGAAAGCATCCTGGTGAACTACCAACATTGTCTGCTGATTATCTGGTGTCATCAAATGTTGGAGATAGTCGTATTCCACTACCTTCACCACAAGTCGAGAAAAAAGTGAATTTGGTACTGAATCTCTCAAGAGCATTTTTGAACTCGAATCCAAAAGAAAGGCCAACAATGCGCCAAGCTTCAAATCTGTTGATGAAGGCTTGATATTATTGTACTTTCAATGTTATTTGCTTTTTTGTCATGTTCGCTACATGCATCCTGATAATATGTATTTGTTTAAATGCCTTTTTGTTATGAAAGTTCTCATATCTTTTTCTTAAATCATTACGTAGTACATTAACAAATAAGTCAGTGAAGATTGCTATCCTTTTAGAACTTCACTTCTGGAAATCTAGTATTAGTCAAGAACAAATTTGTCGTACTATACTCTTTTATGTGAAGTTTAACAAGTTTTACCATTACTTGGATTTCCCGTAAATGTAAAATGTACCAAAAATAACATTAGTAAATTAATTATATACAATAAATTGTTTTCTATAACTTATGTCAAATAGATGAAGGCTCAAATACAAACACCAATAGAACATTAAACAATATATAGAGAGAATATTTACATATTTTATCAGTTACAATTCATCTTAACTCTTAATAGAAAGTTGTTCCTGTCTCTTTTTCAATTATCCTGCTTATAGTGTTTTAAATTTGATTACACACAATTGGGTTGTTAAACGGAATAGAATATGTAGCACTAGAAAAGCTAACAGGGTACCCATCGTTCTGCTTACTCTCTTTGTCCCAGAGGTCAAACATGACTTTTTTTATACATAAAATCAATTAATGTTATATCCATGTCATGCCATATCATGTTGCCTTGATATTTTTATTCAAGTTATATAATATTTGAATATTGCAAAATGAATAGGTTGAGATTGCAATCGTGAGTTGTAGAGATCTTAATTCGGAAGAATCACCATCAAAAGTTGACCAATAAACAACAAATTATCATAGCCATTAATGCACTAAGCAAGGTTTAGGCTCATACGTACATTTACATATATGTATGGATAATGCAATCTTACAAAATGGCACCCGTAGTTTGATGGATCCTCGAAACTATTCATACCAATTAAGGCAAATATATATAAAAGCTTCTTCATCTCAATATTTCTTCCATGACTATTGGGAGAACCACAATGGCACCCGTAGTTTCATGGATCCTCTATAGATCATGAAAAATACTGCAAATTGTTTAATTTATGAAAAATTTTACTGCAATCGAACTAAAACAAAGGTTCTCCACATTGATGGGCATCAAACGTTTTTTTTCAAAGACATGATATTTAATGTTGAACAATTTCTTTTGAAAAGACGTCATAAGAAGATTAACTAGCAATATTAAAAAGCAAATTTAGGTCAACTTAAAGTGCGATTGCCTGGGAACCATTACAACTCTCATATTGTATTGGGCAAGTAGGTTTTTTTAGTCAGAATTGACAAATATTTGGTGAGGGGTACTTATTTCTTTTAAATATTTTTTGTTTTCTAATACTTAATGAATTCTGAACATCGTCCTCTGAACAAACCATACAACTAATGTGGCATTAAATTCGAATAAAAAAATTCATTCAGTCAGTTTAACAAACAATTAACATGCAATAAAATCACATTTTTAAACAAGCAGTTTTATTAATATCCACTTCAACAGTGATGCAGACTTCGACAGCTCTGCTTCTACTATGGAAATGATTCGATATTCATACCGATGAAAATCACCAATCCGTTTAAATGAATAAATTTTTAGCGATTTTGGATGGATTCAGGTGAGATTGAAAACAAATTTGTAAGATCAATAAAGGACTCAGATGATTTGGTTGCCGTTTCTGCACTTGGGAATCACGAGTAGGGGAACGAAGGAGGATTGTGGGCGACCGCATGGGAAATCAACGAGCAAGCTCCCAGTTATGAGCTGTGCGGTTTAGTTGATCCGGGTAGGTATTGGACAGAGGGACGGAATGGAGTTTGGGTATCATCAAGTAGAAAAATAGGGTTAATTATTGCATTTTTTTTTTGTTCAAAAGCTAAACTCTTTTATTTAAAGATAAAAACCCCTTACATTTCAGTAACATCTTTTTTGGTTTTTGTTTATCTATTCGGTTTGCAGGTAATCTTCAAAAATTCGACAACATTTTTTTTTCAAATATAATACTTACATTTGACATTTTTTTTTTCAAATGTTGTAGGATTCAAAAACATTTATTAGTTGAATCGATGATTATGTTTTTATATGTTTTAAATAAGGGAAATTGTCATAAAAGTCCTAATATTTTCGGAAAAATTTCACTTTAGTCCCAAAAAAAATTTTGAACAAAAAAGTCCGATTATTTGACTTTACACGATAATATATCATTTCCTCTTAAAAGAAAAAAAATGTCTTTTTTGTTAATTTGAGCCAAAATAAAAAAAAATCGGGACTTTTCTATTTAAAAAAAAAGGACTAAATTGAAATTTTTCCAAAAATATTGAGAATTTTCTGATAATTTCCGTTTAAATAATCAGTACCTCGATCAAGAAAAAAGCCACCCACAGAAAAGTAGAGACTATATAATGTTTATTAGATTATTTGATAAACATATGCATATTATAAGATTATAAAAGAAATTATTCATAACACATGTATACTTAATTATTATATCTTCTTTCATTTTATCCGCATTGAACAAGTTTACCTTGAATACATGAAGTTTCACTCAACTAAGCAATAGAAAACTTGTGAGATGACTTATAACTTCTACTTCTTCCATTGATACATATGGATATGGAAATTTTGCGGCCAAGCATAAATCTTATTTGCATTCCCAACGGAAAAAACCTGAAATCAATTGCAAATTTTCTTGTGTTTTCTTTTATTTATCACCAACACTGTTTGTATGTTTCTTGATTGATTATGCATCACATTTTCTTGATAATTATGGAGGTTCTTCATGTCCCTTTTCATTCATCTAGAGGCGGATCTAAGATTTTTATAGATTGGGGGCACAAAAAATATATAACTTTTTTTCGATTCGGGTCAAAACGCATTCATATAAGAGTAACAAAGTTACATTACAAAAACATGTTCAAATACATATTATAAGTTTATAATTGTCCTCTACGAGTTGCCATATCTTGGAAACGATCAATTACAACTTCATTTTTAACCTTCACCAATTCTTCTTTATCAATTGCACAAATCAAAGAAGCATTCAAAAAATCATCACCGATCCGGTTTCTCAAATCCGACTTCACAAGTTTCATAACCAAAAAAAATCTTTCCCATGTTGCGGTTGCAAAGTGCAAAACCAGGGGCAGAACACAACCCTTACTATAAGGGGGCCGAAACCAAAACCCAAAAACAAATTATATACGTACGTCTGAAATAAAGTTATAACATATAAAAACCTTATACTTTTTGTACATAAATCGGTCTCTTAATGCTATCGACTAGGTTTGATCTAATTCTTTTAGCCCATTTTCTTTTTGAAAATCATCCTTACTTTTTGTGATTTTCTTTTACCCAAAAATATGTTATTACTAATTATTTATTTATGTCTCATAAAACTAATAGCTAGAAAACTAAACATTAAAACAAAGTACAAATACAAATATAAAGAATAATAAAAACATTGCATTAGGTAAAAAGTAAAAATCTATAGAGTGCATCTACAGGAAAGTCCAAAGCAATATAGAAAAGAAATCTAGCATAGAGAGACTCAAGAGACCACAATACGTTTTTTTTATAACAGGATACCCTAATTCCTTAAAGGTCTTTAACAAGAAAAGAAACAAGACCAAGAAAAAAAGGGAAAACCTGGTGTGGAGGTGAACCGGATCCCGTAGGTTCTAAGGCAGACGGAGTGGCTGAGATCAAAAGCGGGACATGATTCAACGATTCATGAAGATGCTGAGACCGGAGAAAACCCACAGGAAAGGATATGAAGTGAGAAGCTTAGCGCCGACATATGATGTCGAGGGTTAAGTTTTTCAGTTTTTATTAAGGTTATTAAATAGCTAATAATTGAAACTTTTTATTTTTGGTAGTTGCGTTTTCCTACAAATTAGGAATTATACGTATTTTGAAAAATTCTAGTTTTTTTAATGTTTGTGGTGGCTTGTTCTTTCTGGTTTCTCCATAGATGTCTTTCTTTTTAATAACTTATGAACAGTTCCAGCATATAAATAGATATTAACAACTTAAAAAACCAGGGAGGCCATGGCCTCCCCTGGCCTAAAGGCATCCGCCACTGGGCAAAACTAATGCCAACTTTACTAGCCGATACACCAAGTAATATGAAATGTATTTTCTTGTTTCTACAATGACTCTAGAAAGATTGGCGATTCCATTCAAATTAGAAAAACTAACATCTTCTTTTACAACATCATAATAAAAATCAAGTTGTTGTGCAAGATTCCTCATTTCCACCTCCGTAAAATCCTTTGGATATAACATACTCAATTTCACTAACTTTGATGCGTGAAATTGCGAAAATGAGTAAGAAGGACTCAAAGCCGCCATATTTGTAAGCAATTTAGTGCTTATCTCGCTAAAACGATCATGAAAGTCTTGAAGTTGCATATTAAGAACCATGGTAAAGATATCAACTGTATAATAATGTTGATTGTTGATGTCAGTATTTTCACTTTGGATCCTTGCATAATTTTCTGACATATACACTTTTTTAATTTCATACTTTTCACAAAAAGCATATTCTTCCTTTAGAAGATTTTCAAAACCCTAGTCTCTAAACTTTTTCTTTGTTATCTCTGTGACAACCGTCAAAATTCGAAACAGTTCTAGACTTGAATAAACTTAGTTGCACGTATAGGCACGACACATACTAGACTTGGTAACTAGAAGCTAAGTTATAACCTACTAGAAACTTGGAAACAAGTAGAATCGAAGAATAGTGTACATAGATTTCACATTGGTATGTGAATTCTACAACTACTTAACTGTAATGACTATCCATGTTCGGGTCATTCCTTGAATTGAACATCTTTGCATGAATCATGTAGACACATCATGAACTTGACCTATAAGTAAAAATTAGGTCAAAGTCTCATAGAAACTTAAGTCAAAGTTGAAATCTAGGATTAGTATACTTGATTCCTCAATTTCGCTTGAATCTCGGAATCACTACATAAAATGCCAATAAACAGATAAAAAT